GAGGCTGGAGTGGCTAGTGAGATGATTGCCAAGTAGAGACTAGAGGACTGATCCAATACATATTTTGGAAGCAGAAATGATAGGGTTTGGCGATAGTTTGGGTGTGATGAGGGCTGAGAAACCATGAGATACCTGGGATAACTCACAGGTTTCCCCAAGTGAGCAGTGAAATGGGATGAGATGAATGAGAAACCTAGAGAAGCAGTGCTGAGAGGAAAGATCCCAGTTCACCTAGTTACAGTTAACAAGTAGAGATGTCAAATTAATAACTAGAACGGGATGGAGATATAAAAAAAGAAGTCAGCATCAAAAGGTTTTGATGACACATGATTCTGCGCTGTAAGTATTTACCCTCAATAATAAATAACACAAACGCAAAAAAATCTAAAATAAATTTGAAAGATTCTGTGGAGCAACAGCTCATAAATACCATAGTAGCTGAAGCCACTGTGTATCTGAAAACGTAGAGCAACAGTGTAACTAAACATTCATACTCAAAATAATCCTCTTGCAGGAAATGATAGATAATCACTTGTCTATTGTGTTCACTTGCTGTATGCTCCACATCTAACATAGCACATGACACATAGTGGGTGTTAAAATATCTACTGAAGATATATACCCACTACTAGGCAGAATAACCACCCAGCAAAAAAAGGACAAACAGTGCAAATAACAAGCAATTGTGCAAGGAAAAACTCTGTACTATGAAACATACAAATGTACTAGAGCAAGGACATTTCTCAGGGAAAAAGGAAAATGAGCTATTTACGCTATCATACCCTAATAGTATCAGAGCTAGATTCTGTTCCTAAGAATCAGCTTAATTTCAATACCAGAAATTCCATCCCTAGACAACCAATGCTCACCATTCCCTATTATCCCTAGATATGAGAAAGAATTAAAATGTAATAAAAGTTTGATATTTGAAGCTATAGTAAAATCTCATCTAGGTTATTAAAACAAACAAAAGAGATTAGAAGGAATTTTATTAAAATAAAAATGGCAATTACTGATGATTTTTCTTTATTCCCTTGTTCACAAAAGTCATACCAATACATAGGAGAAAATTCAGAAAATGCCCACAGATACAAACAAGAGCCCATCACCCAGAAATAATTAACCACTTTCAACATTTTGCACAGAACTTTTTCTGTGCATACATGAGGGTAGAGAGTAAACAGTGATCCACAACTAATCATGTAATTGTTTTAGACTATGAAGATTACAGAATGCTGCTATGGCTAGCGTACAGTATTGAGGGAAGACTAGCTTGAAGTAATAACTGAGCTAAGTAAGCTATCTGAAGGATGAGATGGAATTAACCAAAGAAGTGCAGGTCAGGGTAGCAGTCAAGGCAGAAGGAACAAGAATGTGAGCAGAGCACCAGCCCCACCTAGCCAGGAAATCGGGGAGAAAGTTTTGGTGGAAGGAGGAGATTGGCTGGGCAAAGCCTTACTGAGAGAGCTGAGAGGACTTGATCCGCAGGGAAAGAAGGATGGGATTGTTCCAACTGCTTATGTGGGGAAAGGATTAGGCCCTGCAAGGGCAGACTTCTGTGATCAGCATCTTCTCCCAAAGGGCATGGAGGGTGGGGAAACAAGAATCTTTGGGGGTGTGCATTACAATATTTTAAAGACAATAATACAATATTTTAAATTTATATTTTAGGTTCCACAAAACCTTCTAGATTGGTAGCAAGTGAAGAAAAACAGTGACTTTAACTCTTGCACAACTCCCAAGAAATTCATATTAGAAATGGAGGTGGGGGGGTGCCTGAGTGGCTCAGTCATTAAGCATTTGCCTTTGGCTCAGGTCATGATCCCAGCATCCTGGGATCAAGCCCGGCACTGGGCTCCCTGCTCCGCGGGAGGCCTGCTTCTCCCTCTCCCACTCCCCTGGCTTGTGTTCCTTCTGTTGCTGTGTCTCTCTCTGTCAAATAAATAAATAAAATCTTTAAAAAAAGAAAAAGAAAGAAATGGAGGTGGGCAGAGGAGCACTGAATATTCATAATAACAAAAAATAATATAAATTTTAAAAGACTGAAAGACCTGCATTAGACACTGAGTTTAATGATAGTATGGAATATACCTGTTTTATCACCATATCTCTAATAAATATATAACAAATTAGTACCAAGGAAATAATCATTTGCTTTATGAAGAAAAACTGGGCTAATATAAAGGGATGATCTTAAAGACATCCAGACAAGAAAAACACATCACTATCCACAGGACAAAGCCCCACACAAAGACTTCTGGCCTCTAGAGAAATGGACTTGGTGGTGGAGCAGAACAGGTCCCTCAAAGGCCTAGAGAGAATAGGTCCCTCAACACTAACTATCCCTCCTTCACCCATCTATTCACTCAAGAAAAAAGGTTTAACCCAGCAATTCCACTACTAGGCATATATCCAAGAATAAAGAAAACACACATACATACTAAAACTAATTCGTGAATGTTCCTAGCACATTATTCAAAATAGCCACAAAGTATAAACAACCCAAATGCCCATCAACTGATGACTAAAAAAGTGATATATCCATACAATGGAAGACAAGTCATCCATAAAAAGGAATAAAGTACTGATAGATGCTACAGGATGGATAAACCTTGAAAACATCATGCTAAGTGAAAGAATCCGGTCACAAAAACCCACAAATTATATGGTTATACTTATTTTTTTAAAAGATTTTATTTATTTATTCATGAGAGACAGAGAAAGAGGCAGAGGGAGAAGCAGGCTCCCCAGGGAGCAGGGAGCCGGATGTGGGATTCCATCCCAGGACCCCAGGACCATGACCCGAGCAGAAGGCAGACGCTTAACCATCTGAGCCACCCAGGCACCCTATATGGTTCTACTTATATGAAATGTCTACAACAGGCAAATCTATTGAGACAGAAAGCAGATTAGTCATTGCTTGGGGCTAAAGGGGGTGGGAGCGGGAGGGACAATAACTGCTAATGGGAACAGGGTTTCTTTGGAGATGATAAAAATGTTCTAACATTGATTCTGATGATAGTTGCACAATTCTATGCACATACTAAAACCACTGGATTTTACACCTTAAATAGGTGGATTACATGGTATGTGAGTTATATCTTTATAAAGCTGTTATTTAAAAAGAGAGAGGATATTTTAGCATCCCCAGGCATTATGGTAAATTGCTAGAGATACAGCAAAGGAAAAAAAAAAAAAGAACCTGTTCTCAAAGCCCTAATATTCTAAGAGGAGCGGGGGGGGGGGGGGGGGGGGAGCCAGTCAAGATATAATGACAAAACAATGAAAAAAAGAAAGAAAAGAAATCACAGACTACCCAAGGTTAGTTAGGCACCTAACTTAGTCCTGGGTGATTCAGAAGGTGTCAAGTAGAGAACTCAAAATACCAAATTTTCACCCTTTATTTGAAATTTAAATCTAAATAACTTTTTAAAAATTATGTACCTGTTCAGCTTCTTAAAATCTTCATTCTTATAGAAAGTTAATAATAGATTTTTTAAAAGCATTTGTGCACCTACAAGGTTTAAAACCTGTATTTTTAACTTTAGACAAGCAACCGATTTAAATGTTAATAAAACAAAACAAGTCTCTGATTTAAATTGTACTGTACTACCAAGTTCGTGGAGTGTTGTAAAGACTGTGTGCAAACTTTTCATAACGCCTTAAATTGGGAGAAAGAGGGCCTAAAAAACCGAACAGCCGTGTAATACATTCCAAAACAAAGCATGGGGGTTTTGGAAGAGACCAGCAAGGCAAAATTTGAGTAATAATCGCAAAGGAGAACCAAGTGTTTCAAAGCAAAAATGGACCTTTAAGAATTAAAGCCACTAATTTTCAACCACAACACTTCGAAATTATATTAGTAACTGTTACCATAGAAACGGTGAAGCCGAATTTCCCAAGATTAAAAATAAAAATTACAGCAAATTCAAGTGGGTGAAATAGGTCAAAACTTGGTCCGAACCTAGGTGGAACTGAGCCTACCAGAAAGAAACCTTCACCGAGATAAGGGTGAACCAACGCCAACTTCTACATTTCCAAAGCAGGTTTGATAAACCGCCTTGAAGGGTAATTTACCAAATGCTAAAAAAAAAAAAAAAGTTTGCCCTCTCTTTTCCTGGAGCAGAAACCTTACAACACCCCTCCTGGGCTTCACCCACAACCAAAGCCAGCCCGTGCAGACCTGCACCGGGCAGTTTAGGGGAAGACTGGCTCAGAGTTCACCCGGAAAGCATCTGAATCCAGCCCTGCTGGTTTCATTGGCTAAGCCTGGAGGAAAAACCCAAGCTCGAACCCGGAGCCCCAGCCTGCCTGCCTCCCTCCTCCACATCCCCACCCTACGCCACGTCCTGTGCGTGCCGGGCATTCCACGCGACGCGATCCAACTCATTTATTAAGCTCCCACTGTCTACACCGCATCGTGGCTTCAGGCACTGCAGGAAGAAATGGCCTCTTGCCGGAAAAACCAAAAGGACAGCACGGGGGCTGCGGACGAACCCGGGAGAGAGGCTGCCTGCCTGCGGCGAGGTGTGCTGGAGAGGAGTCCCCGCCTTCACTCCCCCGGGTCGTGACAGTTCCAGAGAAGAGATGGCACCGAGGGCGCAGCAGGCCGTGCCTCCCTGGAGTCCGCCACAGACCAGGCTGGAAGAGGAATGGAAAGGAGTCGGCATCCCTGGACCACCCGCGCGCTCCTCTGCGCCAAGGAGCGCGACCCAGACTTCGGCCCCCGGGAGAACGGCGAGCACGGGGACCGAACCCCCGAGAGGGCCGGAGCGGACTGTCACTGGCTCCCTCTTCCCTCCGCTGCGACTATGGCCGGTCGCTCTCTCCCTAGCATGACAGCGGCGGCGGTCGGGCACCAAGCGTCTCGCGCCCCGCGTCTCCTCTGCCACGGCCGCCGGCACCCCCAGCGGCTCGGAGCAGAGGGGGACAGTGCCGAGAAGACCGCCCGAGCCCCTCCCCCACCATCCCTATCGCCCGGACTCCGGAAAAGCGGTTACCTGGCGCGCGGGTGGGCACCGGGATACCACCCAGAGGAGGAAGATGAGGAGGAAGATGAGGAGGAAGAGGGTGGCCTCCGGCCCACGGAGATTTGGGAAATTTGGAAGATTTGTTCCGCACTGGGTGACAGCTGTTCGCTGCGCACGCGCACCGGCCCCCAGACGCCTGATCACTCCGCCGCTCCTCACCCTCCCGTCGAGGGGATGGGAGGCAGCGGCGAAGGCGCGCGCACAGAGCCTGCCGGCTCTCCCTGCGCGGGGGCGCGCGCGTTGTCACGTGACCACCGGGGCCCGCACTTAGTGGGTCACGTGAACTTCCAAACAGTTTAAAGATGCCCGGCACCTTGCTTTGGGATTAGTTTTCCGTGCTGTTCTTAATCTAGGTTTGCTGTCGTGCATCTTGTTCTCTGGGGAGGGCATGTGCACTCTTTCCCAGAGGGGAAGACACTTAAGGAGAAGGAAGGAACAGGTGCACAGAACCTTGCCCGGAAGTGCCTACCGGGTTCCCGCAGGGCTGGACCTGATAGAGTCCACGCGCCACACGTCGTCCTGGGCCCCGACGCGGGCCTATGGCGGACTCCGGCGCGCGGACGTCAGAGTGGCGTTGCCATGGGTGGGGCTTCGGAATGCCCAGCGGAGCCTGGCTAAGATGTCCGGGCTCGCTGCTGGGCAGCAGGGACAGCGTCTTACTGGCCGGGGCTCCTGCGCCTCTCAGCAACAGTGGGAGATCCCGAGTGGGCCAAGGGGTCCACCTGCCAGCCTTTTAACTCTCAAGCAAAAGACCGTGTTCTTTGACTAGAAGAGCGAAACTGTCCCATATTCCAAGCACCTAGGTGGAGCACGGCCCATCCAGGTGTGCGCTGGAGCTGAGGAGAACCGACGGTGGCCCCAATAGGAATCGAGGCTCGGTAGCTCTCAAAAACTAGGGACTGACAGCAGTTTTGGCCGGAATTGTAGTAACAGGAAGTGCAAGTGTCTCCGGACTCCTGAGAACGTACTTAAATTAGCTTGCTACTACTTATTACTTCTGTGCTGTAACTCCGCCTTCCAAGGTGTCAGAAGGAACCACAGAGACCTTAAACCTTTGTACTGCCAAAGACAGATGGCTAACACCAGATGTTTTGCAAAGCTCAACAATTCTTTTTAACTTCCTGCAGAGTACCCAGCTGGGTCCCTTGTAGCGTCTCCCCTAACGGCCTCTTAGCTAAGACTACTCAGATCATTACACTCCTGAGCACACTTGAACTGTCTAATATGCTGAGCTTCCTATTACAATCCACTGATTTCTGCTTTTTTAAAATATCTCAACAGGTCCACTTACCACACCCTTGAAGTCTTTTCTCTCTGGGAAGAGCATATCGAGGTCAGATGAAATGTGGTTAAGTAAGGCTAATGGGATTATTGGTCCACCACATTTCTTTAGTTATTAAATTAGAAACAAGGTTTATGCTCTATTACCCATATACACGTCTGAACTTGCCTAATATATATACTCAAATGAGAATTTTCCAAATGTGTATACTATTAGGATCCCAACCCTCCTTACAAGTCAGTTGGATATGCTAAAACAATAAATACATAACCCAACATTTATTTAGAGCTTACTGTGAGCTTGACACTGTTTTTAAGTGCCTCACAAATATTAGCTAAATTTATCCTTATAATAATTCAATGGCTAGGTATTATTATTATCTCATTTTAGATATTAAAACTGAAGTATACAGGTTAAGAAATTTGTCAAACAGCTACTAAAATCCAGGGTACTTAGGAAGCCATATGCTGTATTAGACTGGCAACCTGGTACACCAGGATAAAAAGTCTGGAAATCTGAATTCCAGTCACTTTACAGTTACACAAATAATGTTTGTTAAGAGCAGTAAATCAAATATCAGAGCTTTTTTAAACTGAAAAATTAGGGTAACATACCAGCCTTGCTGACCTCAAGCGTGTTGAACATCAAAGAAGATAATGTAAAATGTCAAAACACTTAAAAAGCTGGAAAGCAACTGTGAATTTATTAGCGACTTTACAGTTTGGGAAATTGGAAATTGAACTGGGAATCAAATGTATTCATGGCAGTGTTGAGTCCCTAAAGTATCAAATACCTGTATATTGTGAATTACAATGATAATTAACAATTTAGCCATATAGTAGATTAATTTATTTAGGTCCGGTTAAAAACTCCAATTACAATAAGATGGAGTTCTATAGTGGATACAAAGATTTCCCTTGAAGCTTATATGTTATGTGAACTACTATTTAGATCACTTCAGAGACAAGAGTTGTAAATTTCTTTATAATGCAGCAAATTGATACACTACTAAATAATATCTAATTTTGAATATACTGAAGTCCATTTCACTTTTGCAAATAGAAGGAATTAAATAATAGTAATGCTCACTAATATTTATATTTATCCTATCATATATGTATGTTATTTATACAGGTATAATACAAACTGCAACCAATAATTAGATGTTTAGATGCTGTTTTAAAGAGTCATGGTGAACGTGAAAGTAAATAATAAAATTAGAAACCTAGGTGCCTGTTCTTCTCTATGTCCTGTGCTGTGAGTTTAGGCCAATTTATCTCTTACCTGGGTTATTATAGTACAATAAATGATTATAATATAATGGATTAATATTACATAATTCTCCTAATGATATCCCTACCCCCAGTGCTTCTTCACTCACCCCTTTCCCCTCCAACTCATCTTATGTAGTGCAAGCCAAAATTATCCTCCGGATGTAAAAACTGAATCATGATTCTATCCAATTGAAACACTTCATTAATTCCCCATTATTATCAAAGCTTTTCAGACTTGGCTGAGAAGAGTATGGTGGCCAAGGGTATACAAATAGACTTTGAGGTGACTCAAGCCTCTTATGTAAGCACAATATTCAATCAGTTTGGATACCATTATATTTGTGTTTTAATATCAGAAAAATAACTAAAATTACCTAGCAGTTAAATTATTTAATTTTCCTATCAAAATATTTGAATAAAATTAAAGAGGAGACATGTCTAGTTCTCCCTGGGCCATTGCCCTAAATTTGCATGTGTGTGTGTTTGGGAGGGTGGGTGTCAGGGGAACAGGTCAGGTACTTTATGGTTTTCACATCAAGGAAAACATTGGAAATGATTTATGATACCTGAATCGTAACACCATTTAAAAACTATTCATTTTAACAAATAAAAGTAAAACTGTAAACATAAGCTTAAGTTGCAAACTCTGAGTGTAGTTGTTAGCTTCAATCAATCCTCATTATTATTATTATTATTGCCATTTATTATTATTTGTACTATGTTTTATGGATAGTGATACAGCTATGAACTGGACAGATGTGGCCTTGTCTTTACTGAGCACACAGTCAAGCCAAAATGAGAACCAACAATACACAACCAAAACATGGCTAAAAATAAAAAGACGGAAACAAACATTTGGTGATGATGTGGAGAAACAGAAACACCAATGGAAATACAGATATCATATGCATCCAAGACATGTAGAAGAAAATTTGTAGCAGCATTAATTGTGAAATCCCAAACTGAAAACCACCCAAATAGCCATCAACAGAATGAAGATATAAATGCTTGTATATTTATACAATGGAAACTAAACAACAATGAAAATAAATGAACTACTGCTATCTAAAATAGAATGGCTAGGGTACCTGGGTGGCTCAGTTGGTTAAGTAGCTGCCTTCCGCTCCAGTCATGATCCCAGGGTCCTGGGATCCTGGGATCAAGCCCCACATCGGGCTCCCTGCTCACTGGGGAGTCTGCTTTTCCCTCTACCCTCTACCCCCTGCTCATGCGCTCTCTCTCGCTCTCTCTGTGTGTGTGTCTCTCTCTCAGATAAATAAAATCTTTAAAAAAATAATGAAATAAAATGGCTAAATCTCACAAACACAGCGTTAAGTGAAAGAAGCTAGACACAAAAGAATGCATGATGTATGATTCATTTACATAACATATAAAAATAGATAAAACTATTCTATCGTGTTAAAAGTCAAAGTAATGGCTATATTTGAGGAGGAGAAAGGGGGCAGAGCAACTGGGAAGGAAGAGGTGGGGAACCTCTGGGATGCTGGTTATGCTCTATTTTTTTACCTTGATGACAATAATTGTAATAATTCATCAAGCTGTATACTTAGGATGTATGCACTTTTGTATGTATGACATTTAAAAGACTTTTCAAACATTATTATGTTAATTTTTGTATATTTTTTATATCAACTTTCTTACTCACCTTTTGACAAATGGACCACCCAGGTTGATTTAACCTGATAAACTAAAAGGTAAAACTTATGGACCTTCCCCTTCCTTTTCCATAACAATTTTTGTAGTATTGGAAGAGGAAAACTTGAAGACAAAAACAAATGGATGGGAAACTGAGCTCCTTTTTCCTTTTGGTCCTGTTGACCCTTAAGATTTTAAGTAACTGGAAAAAAAAAAAGAATTTCAGTAACTGAAAGGGTTTTTTTCTCTTTTTAACTCTTTGTTTCTTTTAGGTGGATATTTTCCCTTTTTTATCAGGGTTGTCAATAACTCAGAAAGAAATGTAACACTCTATTACAATAATTTTGTTAGCATAAGTAATTTTTTTAGCTTTTCCAGCCATGTTACAAACATACTATTATTTCAAATCCTTTTCAGCTGCAGGCAAAGACTATATGAAAAATTTAAAAATATAAAGGGGATGATTTTGTAAATAATTTCTTCACCTTAGTTTGTTGAAATCATTTCAGATAGTAAAGAAGGCAGCAGGTCCATTTATGACAGCATATGATAATGCCATCTGTGTGTTAACCAATTGTGTTAGTCTGTAGACCAGAGGGTTTACTGGGGAGATGTGTTGGCTTACATTGACGCCCCAGGACAAAATTATCTGGAGTAATAAGTATCTTATCACATATTTAACCATTAAACACCATATAATTTCCAGTATATTGAACCAATGGATTCCAGTGTATTAAACCAATCTATAGAGAAGACCTATTAATTACCTCATTCAACTTTTATTGAAATGTGCTAGGAAATAGTATTCTTTTATAAATTATAGAAAGGAAATGGTTTATTTGGTGGAGAAATTATTGTGACTTCATCCCAATCAGAATCAAAACAAATTCTAA